GGGGGGGGGGGGCTACGAGGCATTACTTCAATTAACCGAATTAGCTGGCAATTAGCCAAACAGCTTCACCATTCGAATAATGGATCCGCTTGTTCAGGGTACTAGGGGTTCCACGTTGAACGTTGAACGTTGAACCTTGATCCTTGAACCCTGAGCCCTGAGCCACCCTGTATCAACTCTTCTTTGCATCGACAACACAGCCAACACAGCCCTCTGCTACATCGTCTCAGGGTTAAAGTGTCGATCAAACTACATTACTGCTTCTAGACTTAAGATTTCAGGCAATGTTGCCTCGTGCCTCCTATTCTCCTATTCTCCCTTATTTCTTTGAGGAGCGGAGGGGACTTCCCGGGAAGGGAAGGAACTTCTTGCACCCTCTTCTATAAGAAGAACCCATTGCATATGAATATAAGTGTATTATCATAATGTCACCCTAGCTTGCCCAGGGGACGGCTGTGCGAGATCCCTCCGACGAGACTCCACCTAGGGGGAGGGGGGGGGGGGTTGAAATCCTTGGGAGAAGATCCTGATAGAGGGTGAAATGAAATATTTCATCTATGTTTTCCTAGTCGCTTCTTCTCTCCTTTCTCTCGACCCCTGCAGCGCGACTCCCTTCACAGAAATAAGAACATCCACGATGCCAATTCTCGGTACGAGTATCGACGATCTTCCAATTTTACGATCGGTCGATTGTCCAAAGAAGCAGCCGAGCAGCGTACGGATGACTCTCCTTTACTAATTGGACAAACCGGCTTAATCGGTGGCTGGTTGCTTTAGGTACAGGAAGAAGTCTTAGGAGTAGATACGATTTGGAATCATGTGAAAAGCATGTCGATGCTTATATCTTATACCTTTTACTATCTCTTGCATTGCCTTATTTATTTATTCTTTACTTCCCGGCCTAAAATGCAATAGGGCATTTCTCATATGTAGTTCGGCTTAGATTTTGGCGATGGTCGATAATTCCAAACTTGCCCATGCGAGAAATGATTGGCTGGATCTCTCTGGAAGTTAATTAATAGATCCAATAAGCATAGTTGACGAATAAAAAATATAAATAATAATCGAGTCTCTCGCACGCTGGTACCGCGTGCACGTATACTATTTAGTCACTGTGGTATAAAAATCGGAAAACTTATATATTTCCGTTATTACCCACCTTTGAGGGTTGCTTGGGGTATTGGTAGATACACTCGACCAATCAGAAACGTATCGTTCGACGGCCCCCCATCCAGGTGGCGCGTCGACACCATAATAAAATTGGTTTCAAGGAAATGAGCCCACTGGCAGCCTCCCTACTCATCTCTGGTAGAACCACCTTCGGTGGTTGGTGTTACATTTGTACACTGAGGGTCAATAATGGTGTCCAGCTTGTGGACGCGGTGCGTAAGCTGTCAGTATCTTTGGCTACTGTGTCCGAGGGAGACGGCAATAGGTCCCTGAGTCCGATGAAGGACGACCTATCGCCACCAGATCAGGTCAGGCAGACTCGCAGAGGGTCGACTAGTAAAGTACCTAGTGCCAGGCGAGTAGGCGAAAACCCTCAGGCTCTCATCAGCAGTTTCTCTAGTCCGCAACAGAGTTGCTTTGGCGAAGGAATCTTTGAGAAGTCATTTACCCGCTCGATGACTTTCTTCTTTCTTTTTTGTGATCCTGGCGCTCCTCGCTCAATACAGCTGGGCTGCCTCCAATCCATTGACATAATTTCTGTTGCGATCGGGAAGTCGTTCGTCACTTAGAAGCATGACTACACGCGGGCCTCTCGTTAATCGGCCTTACTCCACTGTATCCAATCGTAACGGGGCCCAGGACACGGACACCGAGCCAATCGCGCGGTTTCTCTATATGCTAATCGAAATTCGTTTTTCGGGATTTCTCGTGAGTTTCTCAGACCCATTAATCCCCAGCCACTCGACGTCCAACGTGGGAGTACTTTCACGTAAAGGAGTATCGCGCGTGGCCGAAATCGAGGAAAAAAAAGCCAAGGGAAGGAGGAACAGGAGATCAGAGATGGCGCAGTAGTCTAGGATGGCGTCGGAGGAATCCGCTTCCGATGTAGATTCTGTGCGGCAGCGAATCAATGACCATTAGGTTGGTAGCCCAGTTTTTAGTATAGTTGGCTCGAGCCCCGTCGGAGAACAATGGACCACAAATCACGACGGACCCGGCTAACTCTCGTTTGCGAACGCCAGATTCCCTTCTTCCCTTTGTCTCTTTTTCTCTTTTTCTCTTCTTCTCTTCTTCTCTTCTTCTCTTCTCCTCTTTCTGCACTCTTAACGATCCGCCTGAAATAGACTCATTCTCTTTTGCCTTGAAACCAAAGATCGAGTTCCGAATGAGAGTCCAAGAGGCCGGCGTCTTGCGCGAACACATGTATAATATCTCCGAAGAATTCTGTAAAGGGAAAAATCCGTAAGTTCCTCTTCGAGCTCTTTAATTCGCCAATCGAAATGAGTTTACACGCGTTCCGTCCCTGGTTCCACAAGAAGATCACAAACGGCGAGAGGAGTCGATGGGATCGGCACTCTATCCGTATGTATTATATGATGTATACGAGCGAGGCTCGCAACAGCCTCATGATAAAGTCGTGACAGTTATCGCCGATTTAAATTTAGGACTGACACGCATTGTCTCCGAGGCACTGCGCATGCGCAGTGCAGGCGTCTTCTAACGATCTCAACGATTCGTGTTCCCGTTATCCCACGTCCTTCGATGTCTCCTGATTAAAAGCGCCAGACAACCTGTGCCGCTTCCCTGGAAGGAGAAGGAGATTCCAAGAGAAAGACGGGAAGCGCGCCGACTCGGGAGCATCCTGATTTCGCGTGGACAGCTAATGCAGGCCTTAAATTATCGAGTTTATCGTCGGCGTGCTCGTAAAATCGAAAGAGGAGATCGCGGCCGACTGCCGCATCCCAACTTGCCCTCCTGGCGAACTCTGCTGATTTGGCCTCGCTGACAGCCTGAATTGTGGCCGGTCTCGAAAGTTCCTCCGTCCAGGACCAAATGAAATATCGAGCCATTTCCTGCGAGACGGAACTCCCGAATGGATTGCTCCCACCTAACTTCGGCTCATCGTTACAGCCGGTTTACTTATTCTACCAGGCAATCTGAGTCAGGACACGGTACTCTCCCATCTGGAGTGGCTACTGGGCTTTTTTTTTTTTTTTTTTTTTTTTTTTTTTTTCTTCATAACGATCGATCATGATGACCTCGACTCTTCCATATCCTCTCATCAGAGTTTTAAGGACGGGCTAATCCAATTTAAAAGTCTTACGTGATATATGCTGCACGACCTGATTGAGTTCACACATGTCAGAATACTATAAAATATTAGAAGGAAGCTTTGTAAGCGCATAGCTCCAAAATTAAATTTGTATAAGCATTATGCAAGAGAGTAGCTTCTTCCAGATAAGACGTCTTGAGAATGCTGTAAATGTTCGGATGCGCATATGATAATAAACCAGAGGAAAAGCACCAGAGGCCGACTGCACGCGAGGTGCGCATCGACGCGTGTGGCTATAATCACAGTAAATTATGCAACTGATCGGTATAGAATCCGCGAAATCACGAGTCGGCGAGCTGCTCTCTTCCGTGGGCATAGGACGAAGAAATCAGCAGGGATCGTCGCTATTATAGAGACACAATTTTTTGGAAATGCAGGTCCAATAATGAGCCTGCGATCTTCGTTGCGTTTTGCGTTTGATTCGACGCACGGCAACTCGTACTCCCTGTCTTTAGCATCCCTGTCGTTGGCTCTCAGGTTAGAACGTCGAGCATCGCGGCCGCGGCGACCTATCCCCCTTTACACCTCGGAGGTTCAGGGAAGCCTAACGCATTAATAGCCGCGTTAATCCAGCTCAGGCATCATGCCTGTAGTGCGTCGCAAAGTAGTGCGTCGTGCGTGTAGTACGGTAGCATTCAAATGGGAGGTGCCGCAGCAGCATGCTTTCAGAAGAAGATACTCAGAGAAAAAGAGGGAAATTATCCTCTGGCCACGGAATGGAATGGGTTTGACGCATTGCCCCGTGGCCGGAGATCGTTAATTTCGTGGCCCTTAGCCACGATAATGGCTGGCTGTCCAGTGTGAAGAAGTGCGTTCCTCTTAATAACTCATCCGGTCGTTTGAGCGTGTCTCCTGTGCCGGGACGATGTCAGCGGAGGCGTCGCCCCATTGTATCGAGACTATCGAGACTATCGAGACTATCGAGACTATCGAGACGCGAGGTTTGCATTCGATAGAGCTTTGATGCTCTGCCCGGTCTACAGAATCACCTAGCCAATTACGGTATAGCCAAGTCCGCGTGCAGCGCGAATCTGCGATCGAACGCTGATCGTGCCCAAGTATAATTAAGAATAATTGAAAGGCAATCATGCGGCAGGAGGCTACGCGACGCGACGCGACGAGGTTCTTCCCTTTGTGGCGCCTCCAGCCACTCCTCGAGACGAGCGGCGTCTTACTACCACGAGTCTAATGGGTCAATCGTTTCGAGATCCCTTGAAATGCCGTCGGAATTTGTCAAAACAATTATCATACCGATCGCAATGCTCTTATCCGATTCGCATTTCTCTCCGCTGGACTCTGTTATCAGACTAGAACCTTATAAAATTCATTAGGTTCGATTGTTCCGTTTGACTCGTTCGATTGGAACTTCTTTTATTTAATATTTCTTGTATGTTCTAGAAACAATGCGAACGCGGTGCCTTCGGCCGGCATTTCCATCGAGAAGAAGGAACCGCACGAGAACATTGCCAGGATAGCCAAGCGCTACCTCGATGACAACATGCAGCAAGCCTGGATCAACCCGCGTCTGATCTCAATGGTGAGTGAGAATGTATTATAGTCATACATATACGCGTGTATAGTGGAAACCATGTGAAACCTCGCGAATCTCGCGCCTTTGCGAAGTGACGCGAGATGTAAAATGGTGGGACGCCGGTGAATCTTGCGAGTGTCTCATTAGAAGGAGCGCCGCGGCGGCTGGACGCAGGCCTTCAATGTCCGGGAGCATTGAATGATCGAAACAGGTTGCAGGTCGGTTCCCTGTGAACAGGAGTGAATGCTATCAGGCACTTGTTGCAAAGTCTCGACGACGAGAAGGCAGGAGGAAGGTACACGTATAGTGCCACCTGCTATAGATAGGTGCCTCGTTACCGGAGGAACGAGGTCCATCCTGAATCCACTCGTTACCTTCTCGCCTTCGTCTCGACCGATTCTTCGATTTACTTCGGGATCAGAGTGGCAATAGTAAATGAGCAATAGTAAATGAGTGTGCGACGGTACGCCTACCGTGCTGTCATTGCATCCCGTATCGGGAGATTTTACCTCGACGTTTCCCTCTTCCTTCAGTGGTGTCACAACGTCGAGACGCCCTCCGTCGTCGCTTCCTCCGATACGGCCAAGAGGAATCCCGCTGGCGCGGGGTTCACGTACTGGTGAACTTTATGAAGTAACGTTTCACGGTATTAATCGTTGCCTGTCGGCTGCCGTCGCGTCATTAGGCGAACCAACAAACGCATAATTTCTCTCCCTTCGTTATTTCTGAGCTCGGCTATTAGTCTAGCGAAGGCAGCAATCATCACTGGCAGGTAGTGCTGCGCTGCGCGCCAGGCCTGTGAGGCCTGTGAGGCCTGTGAGGCCTGTGAGGACTAGCAGGCGGCCAAAGGACCCTCAGTCCCAAGTGCACAAACGCTCGCCTAGTTCTGCCTTTGCCCGTTGCTGCACGGTAGTACGCATATAGGATTGATCCTCCCGCGGTTAGCAGCCTATGATTTTTCAACTGCCAATCGGATCGAACGGCTGCGTCGCCAAGCGGCGACGTTTGTTTTTCTACCAAAGATTAAATCTCTTTTCCTCTTTTGCTCCACACTTCTTAGGAAACTCTTAAAACTCGAGCATGGTTACTTTTGACACAGCAGAGGGGAGAGGGTAATTGAGAAATATCGACGAATGGATTCATCTAATAACTCGTCAGCCATTTAATAAACCCGAAGGTTCCCGACGATTAACGACGCGATCCCACAGAGTTACCAACTAAAATGTACGTCTTCTGAGTGCGCCCACTCGGGTTTTTAATACGTGTAATAAGGGATGGAGCCCGTTTCAATCAGAGGGCTGTCTGACGCGATTAACTAGAGCGAACGTCAGGACGCTGGCGTCGCTCAAGTCGCAAGAGGGTCCGTCGTCATTTCGAGTGTTTATCATGTCAACCAATCGCGAGATTTCATTTTTCTGCTGTTCAGTTTAAGAATTCCTGATACCCATTCTCAGTGTCGCACCCTTTCTCTTCTTCCACTTGTTCTTCTCTCTCTCTCTCTTTCATCCTTCTATTCTGCTCTACTATTTCTTCTTCTTGGAGTGCAATAGAATTTTGTATTGTATTATTACAGTGCGTATCCGCGAGCCTTAGTACGATATAAATTCGTTTTCTCCGAGGAGTCCATGACTTTTCGCACGCGTTTGTATTTCGAAGAAAAATAATGGAAATGTTTAATATTGGGCATTGTTCGGTTCATTAGCGAAGCACAAAAGTGGATTAATATAATTGAGTCTACCGTAGGTATAATAGGCCATTCTGATATTCCATTGTTTGACGTCGCAAACTTCTGATTCGCGGCTTTATACCACGGCTGCTGCTTATTTCTCATTGTGGCCTGCGCATCCTTTGTTTTTATTTAATTTCGTCAAGCCTCCAATATTCGCGCCTCCACCTCCTTCCTTTCTGCCCCTGATGTCCTCCGCCCGCCTC